TCAAAAGAAAATTTAAAAACCAAAAGGCCTTGTAATGATCTATTTCAAGTTTTGAGAGACAACTGCCGAACAGACTACTCTACCAGTTAAGTTATCTCTTACAATTAAAGGAGAATGAGAACCTTCACACTATAAAAAGGCTTTAAGAAATTCATGACCACTACATCAGCGCTATAGGAGATACTAGAAGGAATCCTTTAAATGGAAGAGAAAGAAAAACTCATCCAGGAGACAGGGCTGGACAAGCACCTTAGTGGTGGACATTTGGCCTAGAATGTGTGAGGCCCTGTGTTCAATCTCCAGTAGTGGGGGAAAAAAGACAAAGACTCAGCACTGAGAGATGGCTCAGTGGATAAGGCTCCTTATTACTGTTCTAGCAAGGTTTATTCTTTCCTGTAGCTTCTACATGTTTTTTCTTTCTCTCTCTCTCTCTCTCTCTCTCTCTCTCTCTCTCTCTCTCTCTCTCTCTCCACCCCATCTCTCACAGATTTTTTTTTTTTTTTTATGTGTGTGTGTGTGTGTGTGTGTGTGTGTGTGTGTGTGTGTGTGTGTGTGTAAAATGTGCATATGAGAGTGCAGATGTCTGTGGAGGCCAGAAAACGGTGTTAGAGTCCCTGAATGGAGTTGCTCAAATAAAAGGTAATCAAATAGAAAAGGAAGAAGTCAATGTATCCTTATGTACAGATGATGTGATCCTGTACAAAAGAGATCTTAAAAATACCAACATAAAACTTACAGAGTGATAAACACTTTTTAGCAAAGTAGGAAGGAAAAAGGTAACAGATAAAAATTGGGAGCCTTCCTATATATCCATAGCAAACATGCTGAAACACTGAAGAAATAAATTAAAGACAGTAGAAGTTGGAAAGACCACCTATGCTTGTGAATTGGAAGAATTAATACTGCGAAAAAGCTACTACTAAAATCCAATATAGTTTCAATCAAATTTCTGATCCCATTATATACAGAAACAGAAAATAGAATCTTAAAGCTCATTTGGAAGTACATAAGATCCCAGCCTGCAAAAGCAATCCTAAGCAAAAAGAATCCTGCTGGATGGGTCACCATCTCTGATTTCAAGTTATATTACTGAACCATAGTAAAGAAAAACAAAAATCATCAGCATGTTATTCAACTAAAATAGGCATGCCGATCAATAAAACAGAATAGAATACCAAGACATAAACACATACAGCTTATAGGTATCTGATATTTTACAAAGATCCCAAAAATATACATTGGAGAAAAAACAGCCCCTTCACCTTATGCTGGAAAGCTGGATATCCACATGTAGACAATGAAACTAGATATGTATATCTCACCCTACACAAGAATCAACTCCAAATGGTCAAAAGCCTTAATATAGGATCTGAAACTTTGTTAGAGAAAATTAGGGAAAATGCTTCATGATACAGCCATAGGCAAAGACTTTCTCAGCAGGGTGTTAGTTGTTCAGGAAATAAAGCCAACAATTGATGAATAATGTGGTAGCTTGAATGAGAAGTGGCCCCATAGGCTCAGGTATTTGAACACTTGGTCAGTTACCAACACTTGGCACTGCTTGGGGAGAATCATGGTGCCTTCGGAAGTGTACCTTTGCCAGAGGAGGTACCACTGATGGTGGGCTTTGAGAGTCCATAGCCTTGCCCACTTCCGCTTGCTCTCTCTGCTTCCTGTACATGCTTGAAGATATAAATGCTCAGCTTTCTGCTCCATGTGCCTCCTGCCATATTTCCTCTGCCACCACCATGATGGACTCTCATCTCTCTGAAACCATAAGCCCAAATAAACTCTTCCTTTTATAAATTGCCTTGGTCATGGTGTTTTATTACAGCAACAGAAAACTAATTAGCACAGGGAATTTACTGAATTCAAAAGGTTCTATCTATACAAATAAAACAGTTAATTGAGTGAAGAAACAGCCAATATAATGTGGAAAAAAACTTTGTTGTTTATATGCCTGACAGAGGTCCATGATATATAAAAAGTGAAAAAAAATCCAAACAATGAGAAATTAGTAAAGTGTATGATGAAATGGACCCTGCCTAAAACACCTTTGGCTCAGATTTGAGACTTGCATGTATGAGTTGCAGTATTTTACTGTTCTGACTAAGTTTTCTGCTTAATATTTTTTTTCTGTCATTCGTTATGTGACATGGTGATCTCAGCACTGATGATTATAAAGGTAAATATCAGTCAACTGAAAAATGCTGAAGATGCTCTGTGCCCTGCAGTATCAAATACTCAGTTAAGATTCAATTCTTGGTGGAGAAATAAACAAGCAGAACCATACCAGTAGTACCCCAATTTTTTAAATAAATGGCAAATGGGACTGGAGAGATGACTCAATGGTTAAGAGCACTGACTGTTCTTGCAAAGGACCCAGATTTAGTTCCCAGAACCCACATGATGACACGTTAACTACAGTTCCAGGGCATCTGACACCCTCTTCTTACCTCAGAGGGCATTGTACAACAGGGGTGAACTTACATACATGAAGGCAGTACACTCATACACATAACATTAAAAAATAATACTTTAAAAATAAATGGCAAAAATTATATGTATACTAAAAAACTTTTTAAAAATAACATTTTTATTATTAATTTTCAGTATATGTTGATTTGAATATCTATTTTAGATATTCGTATACTCCAGGTCATGCAACAATTCTTCAAGTTAGTTTTAAAAGCTCTAATATATCTCTAAGTCTTCATAACTCTTTCGTAATAGGATACTTTGAAAAGGAAGAGCAAAAGTTCAATGTTTGCTTTTTAAAAAACTCAAAATCTATTTAAAGTTAGTTTATATGACTTAAGACTGCTTTCCCATATCCTCTTGTATATTGTCCACTGGTAAATGTACTATCTGATTTTCTGTTACTATCACAAATACTTTAGATGATTGACAGTAAAGAGAAATGTTGGTTTCAGCTCACAGTTCTGGATGCTCTAGCCTAAGGCTTTGGACGTTTCTGGATGGCAAGAGAAGGGAGCACATGGCAGAACATGTGCTTGCCTCATGGCCAAGATGGAAAAGACCAGGAGTGCCAAGAGTGAAGACTGCTCAGGCTCCACAACAGTGCCACCCTGGTGATCAAGACCAAACACCACTAGGAAAAGAATCCCATAATGAGAACATTAGATCCAATAAATGGGAGGACTTGCGCACCAGAATAAGTCAGAGCAAGCTGAAAGTCAGGTTAGAATTTAAATGGCAAGGACAGGATTTTTTTTTTTTTAATTACTTCACAGAAAAAAAAAGTAGAAAAATTCTTAGGGAGCTTGGTGCTAGCACAAAGAATTATTCACTGGGTAGTGTATCCATTTCTGAAAGTAAACATCTGGGAATTCATTGCATAGCAATGAATATGGTTAACACTAATAAACAGACAGTTATTCATTTGTATTGTTTTTACCACAATTAACATATTTTCAAAGTTACTTTAAAAATATTCTTGGTATAAATTCTACAAATGAAAATTAATGAAATAAATAAAATACTCCTGTCAAGACTGTAGCAGACAAAGACCATCCTGATGGACTGTCCTAGACTGGAGGAATCAGGACAACTAAGTGTAGTGTGGGGCTCTGGACTGGATCCTGGACCAGAGAAACCACATAGGTAGGGAAACTGCAGACATGTGGTAAAGTCCACACAGAGTAATTAAGTACTGTATTGGTACGTGATAGTGCAAGTGTCCACGATGTTTGTATTACGACTAAGAACTCAGTTTAATCTTAGAGGGAGCTGAGAGGGAAGGATGTGTGGGAACTGTGAGGGTTGTTTCAGCAACATATTTATGAGTCTAAAATTTTAAATGGTTCAAATAGAGTAAAAAGAGGTCTAGCGGGGGAAGAACAGAGGAGAGAGGGGAAGGAAGAGATCACCAGTATAGTAGCAGCAATGCTGGAGAGTCGGGGGCTGCAGGAAGAGAGCACAACTTCTGCTTCTGCTTCAGTTTGACCAACATGCGTCCTTTACTGCCACGTCTGGCCAGTGGGAAGGCTTCAGGGCCTAGTGGGAGGGCTTCAAGGCCTAGGAAGAAGGCAATCTCGCCTGCACTTGGAAAGCCAGCCCAGAAGCCTGGAGAACTGAACAAAAAGCTGCAGAGGGAGGGAGGAATGCTGAGGAGGTGGAAATCTTTGCTTCTTTAGTCTGAGGCCCAGTTCTACCCTACATGAGCTGGAACCTCGAGCCACCACCGTCACAGGAAGGCAGACCAGAGCTCGAGGGCTAAACGTTGGTGCCCTTCATCTTCCAGGGGGTAATGCCAGGTATCCCTCATCCCTCTCCTTTAGCTGGACCAGCTGAGGAAGAAGACTCAGCAAGAACCCTGCCGTCCTCAGCCCAGGCTCACCCATCAGCCCAGGTACTGGGATTTGAGAACTTGGAGGAGCTTGTACTATCCAGGGCCGTAGGGAGCAGGTTTAAATCCTCTGGCCGTGTGCATTCCTCTTTAAATGTCGCAGGCTAGCTCAGAGGGTCCATTTGATTGTGGCATACTGCTTCATTGGGGTGTAGACTTGATGCCATTCCCTTGTTTTACCATTATGTCTCCTAGTACCCAGTCCTTGATAACACCCACTGAAAATTTATGCTGTGCTGCCAAGAGCATTAGCGATTTTGTTCTGAAAATGAAATACCTCTGGACTGAGCAGATCTGAAGAACAGATTTGCAGTTAACATGTGTCTGACTGGAAATGTAGGAACCTCTACAACACTTCAGAGAAAGCACTTTTTTTTTTTTAAAGCATGACATAACTGCTAGCATCCTGACCTTGCTTCAGGGTTCCTGACAGATTAGGAAAATACGGCAGCTTCAAGCTTGTTCTCTGCTGTGACAAGAGCGCCTCTTTAGAAAGAGGAGCCGGAGCAGGCCCTTATTTCCCAGAGAGGAGCTTCTACAGTACGTTAAAATGCTGTTTGGGTATAAACAGAGAAGAGTGCTTGGTGTCTTCCTCATGCTTTTCGTTTCCTTTTCATGCAGAAGCAGAAAAATGGCAGGCAAAAAGCGAGAAGCCCAGCTACAGGTGGGTATCCCTTGCCAGCAGGTATTTACCTGATGCAGTGGCACTTGGTCCGTCACAGTTTTTCATTTTTTGCAGACAATCATCAATAGTCAAAGTCTGTGGGATGAGATGTTGCTGAACAAAGGTTTAACAGGTACCTGAGGCTCTGGGTTTCCTGCATCCAGGGTTTGTCCGAGAGCAGAATTCAACTCCCAATTCCAGCCTGAATTCCTGCCATCCTTTCCCTGGCCCCACATGTGGGATCCGCGTGTGCTGATTGTCTAGATTTTTTTGACTACTCTTTCATAAATGTTACCTTCTAGTGATTGATGTTTACCAAGCCTGGTGTGGACCTTGCAAAGCCATGCAAACTTTATTCAGAAAACTGAAAAATGAGCTGAACGAAGACGACATCCTTCATTTCGCTGTTGTAAGCTTTTCATTTTTATGAAACTCTTGTTTATTGCTGCATCAGGGTCGAAGTATTTCTCAGTCCTTAAAAATTGTTGTAAGCAACCCATCAATCTTCTAAATAACAATATTTACTTAGCAGTTTTACTACATATTGAATTCTACTAGATTTGAGAATTATTGTGATTTTTTTATCTGATTTCTATGATGTTGGGGAAACTCACAATGATTGTAACCTTAGAAAATGGGCATATGTCTATTGATCTATTTCTTTTACCTCATGACATGGTAAATGTCACTTTACCAATGCCAATGTGTGTCATTTAGATTAAGATCTGGACAAGCTGTTTCCTGTGCATCATGGAATAGACCCCAGGTGTTTACCAAGTTACAAATATTCTAAAGTTGGCCATTTTCTCTTCCCCTATTAGCTACCAAATGTGATGAGATTAAAATATTATAGCCAAACTTATTTGATTTGTGTTTCTTTTTCAATCCATCAACATCAAGTTATCAACTGATTAGAACTTTATTGTTCATTATAGAAGCCAATATGCATAAATGAAACACTTGAGAGCTATCCAGGCAAACTTCAGAATTAATGTTTTATTCTAATTAATTTAAATTTGAAAACCATGGGCTGGCCAGGTGGCTAAGGAGGTAAAGGCATTTGTCATCAAACTTCAAGACCTGAGTTTGATCCCTGGGATCCACCTCGCGGAAGGAAAAACCAACTCCTGCAAGTTATTCCTTGACCTCCAGAGCATGTCATACACACACACACACACACACACACACACACACACACACACACATACACACACACACACACACAGAGAAATGTAAAGAGATTTTCTAAACTGATATTACTAAATTTAATTTTTATAAAATTTTTAAAAATTACCTTATTTAAAGTATATGTATGTTTTGCCTGCCTGTCTGTAAGTGTACCCATGACCTGCAATGCCCACTGAGGGTAGAAGAGTGCATTAGAACTGGAGTTACAGACAGTTGTTAGTTGCCATGTAGGTGCTGGGAACCATATCCAGGTCCTCTGGAAGAGTAACCAGTGCTCTTAACTGCGGAGCCATCTCTCCAGCCCCAAGTTTTTGCAAAATTTAAAGTTAGAGATAATTTGGCTTTGTAAATCTATTCTTTAATGTTAAATTTTGTTAAAAATAAATTATTAGTAAATATCAGTTGATGGTCAACAATTAAGATATGCTCTTTGGTTCAAAAGCATACTAAATTTTAAGATTTAGTATGGAAAATGATGTGAAATCTAGCATTAATACTTTTTATATTGGTTGAATATTGAAAAGATAATGTTTAGGATGTGTTAAGGAAAAAGATCTTATTTTCTCCTGTTTCCTTTTTTGTCCTTTAAATATGGCTACTAGAGAATTTAAAAGTATATTTCTATTTAGATGGATGACTATGCAAGTTAGCTTGGTCAGAAACAGATAACGGATGTATCTTACTCCTACTCTCTAAAACACAGAGTCTGCGAGAGGTAGACACAAAACCCTAACCCACAGCACATTTGGGTGCAGGTCTTCCATACCCTTCCCAGTCTAGCCTTGAGGCCAGTTCATTTCCTGACTTTAACTTGGGTTCAGCTATCCATCTCCTTCTGCATGAACGCCCTTTACAGGACTTCATTGACTTAATTTTAAAGTTCTGCATCATTTTAACCATTCTTTCTTCTATATTTTTCTGTTCACGAGAACAATTTATTGACTATAATAGTAAATAAAACCTTTTGTCTTAAGTGAATGAATTAAGTGTTGTCTTTTGAAATAAGAACTTTAGTCTCTTTTCTATAATTAAAATTACTTACATTCATGTAGATGCTATTTTGAAGCAGTTTTTTGTTCAAAGCAAGATTGGCAGCAGATTCAGAGCTTCCAGATACCTGTTACCTACACATGCCCACAGTCTCCTCTACTACTCAAATTCAATCAATGAACCCACACTGAAATAGCTTATTCCCCAGAGCCTATAGTTTGTGTTGTAGATCACCCTTGGTGCATACATACTCTAAGGTTTAGAAAGCATCTGTCGATATGTGTCCAACATCATGACCATTTCAAGTAGAACCCTTTCACTGCTCTCAAAATCCCTGGGCTCCTCCAGTTCTTTCTTCTGCCACTCTGAACCCTGGAAACCATTGATCTTTTTCCTGTCCCCATCAATTTGCCTCTTCCAGAATGTGATATAGTTAGCATCACAGGGCATACAACCTCTTCAGATTGGTTCATTTCACTTAGAAGTATGTATTTATATTTTCTTCATATTTTTTCATGACTTCGTTTCATTTCTTTTTAGTATTAAACCACAGTTCACGGACTTGATGTACCTCTGTTTATTTACCTGTTCACGTTCTAAAGAATATCTTGGTTACTTCCAGGTTTGACAGTTTTGAGTAAAGCTGCTATGAAGATCTGCTCATAGATTTTTGGATAGACATAAGTTTTCAGCCTAATTTAGTTAAATACTAAAGATGATTGCTGGATCAGACAGTAAAATTAGGTAATCTTTTGTAAGGAGTTGCTCAGCTGTCTTCCTCACTGGCAATAAATACAGGATCCTCTTATTCCACATCTCATTAGCTTTTGGCATCATCAGGGTTCTGGATGCTGCTCATTATAATGGATACAGTGTCTTGCTGTTGGTTTGCCTTTCATTCCCCAATGGCATGTGATGCCATATTGTTTTTTAATCTCTGTTTGTTAAAACCCTCCTCTGAGACTAAAAAAGCCATAGCAAAAATCCAATCTGCTTTACAACACACCCAGACAGGTCACTATGACCCTCATCTCCAAATTCAGCTTTTAACTTTTTTAATTATTTATTTAATAACCATATAATTAGAAGAAGAATTTCATGACAACAGCATTGACATATTCAATAACAATTTGCAGAGCTAAGATGCATCTGTTTCAAGATTGGCTGTAAATTTTTAGGTTTACAGTTGAATTAATACGGTTATACAATATTGTACTCAGTATAAACCCTATAAGACATAAAATTAAATGAGGTTTTAAACTTTAAAAAAGATCTCAATTTCATTATTAAAAACACAGTTTCATACAGAAAAATTCATTTTTAATGCAATTGATACTAAGATGATTGCACGTGCATTTCTAATCTCTATATATCTGATGGTTACTAGTAACAGTCAGTTACTATCTGAGCTCCTTAACATCTGAGCATCAATATAAAGTCATGAGGTAGATTTCAATGGTAATGTTTTTCACATCTACTAATTATTATTTTTTAATCATTATTATTTCTTTTTCATACAAAAGAATTCATTCCAAAGCAATTGACAGTGAGACGTTTTCACATGCATTTCAAATCTCTATATACATGACTATCACTGGTCACAGTCGCCCACCTTCTGAGCTCCTCGGCATCTGAGCATGAATACTAACTAG